TAACAATATAATAACATAAGTCATAAAAACAATAATATTAAAATATTATTGTCATTAATTTATTACACTAATTTTTATTCTATTCATACTCTATTTCTCTAATTTATAGTATTTAAATTGTGTATATTTTATTATTTTTGTATTATTATAATAACTATAATGTCTTATAGTGGTAGAGTTAAAAATCTTTCGAGTTTGTGTGATACAAAAATATCTATTGAAACCTCTAAAAAAGCTAACATAAAAGAAAATCGAGTAAATAGGTACTTAATAGTTTATTATACACGAAAACTATCTATTGTTGGTCTTATTGCAGCTTAGGATATCTATGGTGCATTACAACCAATCCTTCTTTTCAACATTTTCCATTTGTTTGTTGTAAAAGTGATGACGAATGGATGCTGGAAATGCGGAGGTTAGTGCACGTTGTGGAAAAGTTAACAAGAACTTGGTGTGTTTTCATTTATCAATCATATTATTTATGTTAAATTAATTTATAAAAATAAATCAGTTTCATTAATAGAAAAAAATAATTCATGATTATAGATATTTATTTTGATGTTAACAAACAATTTAACAACAATAATATATTTTAACAATTTATATATTACGTCATTGAATTGTAAAGATTAATGCACAGTAAAATAAATGTAAACAAATATATTTATATTAAATATGTATGTGTTCGCATGTCCATATAAGCAATACAAATAAATAAATTAAATTAAATATGTACGTATGTATATTATATTCATCATTCGGAAATTACGTAAATATATCTTAAAAAGCTCCTTCACCAACCCACGATATTGCTTTGAATTCGAAAATTGTTTTTATTAATATATCCATTAATTAATCACCTTACATATATGTTCATAATAAATAATTGCATCTAATGAACTATTGTCAGGTAATTAACTCACTAGTATTTAACATTATATGGTCTGTATTTGAAATGTATATATAATTTTATTAACCTTAATAAATCCTATCTCAATAATATTTCCATCGTATATGTATACTATGTCGTTAGTAATAAATACATTTTTTTTTTTTTATTACAAAGAACAAGGCCTCGACTACATAGGTTATTGGCTGCAATTAAAGATTACAAACTGATTAATAGGTACATTATAGGTAAATAATTATAAAAATATAGTAAGTAACAATATGAATTAATAAAGAAAGAAACGAAGTACAAAAAAAAAAAAATTATTAAATTTTTTTGGATTTTGATATTTAGAGGTTCATTGTTGAGACATTCGGAGATACTACTTGGAATGATGTATTTAATTCTTTCTTCATTAAATTAGCGACATTCTACTAGAAGATGTTTGATGGCGATTTCGGATCCACAGGTGATTGATTGGAGGATGTTAATATTTGAGTTGTTTGTTGAAAATGTATTAAATATATTTTTACTATTCATTTTTAATTGTTTTTTGAATAAATATATTATATTAATGTTTAATTAATATATGATTCACGATATGTTTAATGCAATCGATCAAATTGTTTTAATTTTGTCAATAATTTTACTGAAATATATTATTTTTCACGTATAAAGTGTAAAATATTTTATATGAAATACACGTAGGTATAATTGTATAAATATCATACATAGTAGGAATATTCAGCATATGTGAATACGTAAATACAATAATATATATGTTACCGGCAAAGTGTTGAATCCTGTATTATATAGAAATCCTAGGTATTCTATTGAATTCAAAAAACGAGCAGGAAAAGTATAGAATTAATATTAAACATCAAACTAGTACCTAAAGGCCAGTTGTACCATATCCGATTAAAGTTAACCGAAGTTTAATTGGCCGAATTTGCCCTTTATGTCCTTTATGTGTACCTTTGAGGCTTTGAAATCAATGTTAATGCTTATCATCCTGACGATTATCTTATCGCATATACAACACGTGTGCGAAGAATTATCGTCATTAATATTTTATAATATAAATATTAATTACAAAATATGATTAGTATAAATTATGATATGTAGTAAAAACTCAACTTGTTGAAATAAACGGGTATTCAACTTGTTAAAATAATATATAATTTTAATTAGCGGGTAAAATATATTTTTAAAAATTGTATTGTTACCTTGTTAGGTACAAAAATCCTAGGAATTCTATAGAATGGCTAGGCATAATATTATAAAATAACATTCAAATTTAATACATTGCCAAATAGTTCAAGGAATTCTACAGAATGCCTATATTCAATAACCATTTGCCAGTAACATATAGGTATACTGTAGGATCTCGTTAATCCGAACGAGATTGGGGAACAGGGTCTTTTGGATTACCATTTTGTTCGGACTACCTATGGCCTAAAAAAATAATTAAAATTTTCTTGAAGTTTAAATGTTGAAATTTATTTTTATCTACAGGTACAGTATAAATTCCTCTAAAATTCGTAGTTGAAAAAAAAAAAACTGTAGCATGTCCCTATTTATTAATTTACTTTATTACTTCTAACTTATCCTGTAATTTAATGTAACATATGCTTAAGTGGAGCCATTTTAAGAAAAATACGCTGTGTGAAACGATCTTTACGTACACACAACTGACGAATGTAATCGAAGTCCCACGTTCATATCTAAACGACGTACACGTGCGATGTACAAACGTAATCGAAAAATTTTATTACGAGATGCAATTACCGCGTCTTTCGGATTATCTAGCTTAAACCGTTTGGGCCAATCGACCCAAATTATAATCAGTTCGGGCGAATAGATATAATAATATACTGTTTGGGCGTGGGTTTATTCTACCAAAACTTCCGTTTGGAGCTTTGTGCAAATAAGGTTTAAATATGATTATAAGTTAGTTAAATATAAAAATAATATTTATTGAAAATCTTTATTGCATTGTACGAATATTATGTTAATTTCCAAAGAACAATTTGCCCGTTAAACAAAATGTGGCTCGTTTACTGAAACAAGTACATAGGGTCAGAACAATAAGGATGTATAATATTTTAATACGTCACTTTTGTAACTTAAAACAATCAAACTTTCAGCCAGTTATAACACCGCATATTTATATAATAACATAAGTAATAACAACAATAATATTATTAAAATATTATTATCATTAATTTATTACACTAAATTTTACTCTATTCAAACTCTATTACTCTAATTTATAGTATTTAAATTGTGTATATTTTATTATTTTTGTATTATTACAATATAATGGCTTATCGTAGTAGAGTAAAAATCTTTCGAGTTTGTGTGATACAAAAATATCTATTGAAACCTCTAAAAGAGCTAACATAAAAGAAAATCGAGTAAGTAGGTACTTAAGAGGACGTGATACCCGTATGTGTTGTGTCCGTCTTACAAGTGCATAACATAGAAAATTATATGTAAAACAGAACACGTGTAGCTCCATTAGCTTAAACATTAAAGTAAATTGACCTCTTATAAAATCTAAAGGTAAGATTTTTATCTAGACAACCTCATGAGCTTTTTATTATATTTTGATTTTTAAGCGAGTTATAGGAACAATTATTTATTTAAAAAAATAAGGAAACTAAGAGACATAAGAGATATTGTTTAGTTTTATTTTAATACAAAAAGCGATATTATTTTTATTATATAATAATGCATTATAATAATGCATTACCTAATTAATACGTAACTGGTACAGTGGTACGTGTTTAAGTATTAAGTACCTATACTTACTTTAGTAATAGTATTAATTATCCTGGATAATTTTTTACTCATACACCCGGCATCCACCCACCCAACATTTTAGTTGGTTCAAATGCACCACCTTATGTGCGTACTCAGCTCCACTGTTACTAGTATGTTTTAGTTTCTTCTGCGTCCCCCACAATTCCCACAAATCCCACTACCCCGCTCAGCCTATGGTTCGAGCTATGCTATCGCGAACGTGCCAGGCCTAGAGATGTAAGCTTGGTAAATTTTTACCTCGTAAATTTGAAGGTAAGGTAAATCACCCTTAAATTTACCAATTATTTTTTTACAAAAAAAAATTAGCATGTGGCACCTCAAATTAAACGGCCAATGTTCATCTGTCATAACATATTAGTAAAATGGAATAGTTTATATTATAAAATGTAAAACGTCCATAACCACTAATAGTGTAGTACCTATACTATATAACATTAAACATACGAATACACTTTAAGAATATTTGATAAGATCACTAATTATGGCAATTAATATAAATTGTATTTTATCACAGGTATAGATAATAAACCTCGTTCAAAATTTAGTAATGTTAAACTTTTCAAGGCTTTGGGGCACCGGTCAAACTTCTTTGATTATTTTTAAATGTTCTATACATAATTTTATTATTTTTAACACATAGGTATATTAGAACCAGAGCCCCAGTCACTATATTTAAATATATTAAAAATAACGACCAGTTTGGTTCAGTAAATAAAAAAAATAAATGTTATCATAATTATAAGTTTGTGGAAATGCGAAAAATGCGGCAAAGAGGAGTTTCAGGTGGTGCTCCTATAATAACGTAAAAAAATTATCAACATTTACTAAATTTACTGTAAATTTAAGTAAATTTTTCTCGGTAAATTACCAAAAAAAAAAAATGTTGTAAATTTTACATATCTAGCCCTGCCTTGTCCCCTCCTCACCCATCTAAGTCTATCACGTACTTGCCTGGCCTTGCCCTATCCATACCTATCAGAGATAACCATTATTGGTAGACACTTCTTATCAATAATCAATTCTTACCAGTGTTTAATATTTTCGGTACAGTACCTAATTACGTCAATCGGGCCCATTGACCGTGATGCTGAATCGACGAATGATAAACGGATTCGCCGATAGTGCAGCAACCATGTGGCTTATTACATATGGGAATGCACGAGAATAAATGAGTTCTGGTGGGGACCCTCGTGGCACATATAAATGGTGAGTTCCGAGTTTGAGACAACAGTGTTTTATACCGTATACAAATTTAAAAAAAATTATACTCCACAAATTTGACAATATGTTTGCTGTTGCTATATTTGTTTTATTATGTGCGCATGCTGTTCATCCTTCGACAGTGGTATCCGGGCATGCCATAACAAATCGCGGATCAGATACGGATCATGCAGCTGAAGGAGCTGCTGTAGCCGGAGATACACTATCCGGGCATGCCATAACAAAGCGCGGATCGGAAACGGATTATGCAGCTCAAGGAGCTGCTGCAGCCGGAGATACAATTGCAGTTACCGGTGGTGTTATAGCCGCAGGATCACTCAAGGCAGGTCCATTTGCACCAGTAGTGGCAGGAGTTGGAGGTGCAACTGCTGCCGTTGGAGGTTTGGTATCAATAATTTCGAGAGCAGCCGATCAGTCATGTCGTGATTTTGGTTGTCACAATAACTACTGTTTTGCATACTGCAGCATCGGAAATCAATGGTGCTATACAACCAAATCTTATTCTCAAAGTTTTGACTATGTCAGTTGTACAAGGGATGACGAATGCAATGGATGCTGGAAATGTGCAGGTTCGTGCACGTTGTGAAAAAGTTAACAAGAACTTTGTTTGTTTTCATAACCTTAGTAAATATTATCTTAATAATCTTTCCGTCGTATATGTATAGTATGTCATTAATAATAAATATTTTGATTTTATTATGTTTAGTTAATATATTATTATGATTCACGGTATGTATAGTGCAATCCATCAAATTTTTTACAATCATTTTACTGAAATATATGGTGTTTCACGTATAAAGTATAAAATATTTTATATAAAATACACCTAGGTACAAATACCATACACAGTATGAATATTCAGCATATGTGAATACGTAAATACAATAATATATAATATGTTAAAGGCAAAGTGTTGAATCCGGTGTTATATAGAAATCCTAGGTAGGTATTCAATTGAATTCAAAAAATTAGAAGGAAAGGTATACAATTTGGAACACCCTGTATACAATAACTAGATATTCTATAGATTATCTAACCTCAAGCAGGAAAAGTATGTAATTAATATATAAGTTTACCTTTGAAATCAGTGATTAATGCTTATCTTGACGATTATCTTATTGCATATACAACATGTGTCCGATACATTATCGTCATTATTAAATAATGATATTATTATGTTGTTCGTGTATACAGGAAAATTAAAAATGTCTTTAAAATGTTATTTTTTCACTCTTAGAGTGTTTGTCGTATTGTAATGTTGAAATATATTTTAAAAATGTCTAAACGTTTATATACCGAATTAAGCAAATCTAGGAAAAATTCGAAACATACAGTTTATTTATCGAATTTAAATTATCAACAAATATTACACGAGTTACTTCTGATTAAAGATGGTATATAAAGAAAAAGAAAACATGGAGTGACTACTGTATGCTTCAAAGGTATTTAATTATTGTTTATGCTCTTTTTAAAGTTGTATTGCTTAAGTAGGTATAGTAAGTATATTACTTATAGTAAAAAATTGTATGTTAGATGTCATAAAGTTTTTTGCAGAAGATTAATAATTTATCTTATATTTTTATTATATAAATATTAATTACAAAATATGAGAAGTAAATTGTTGTAGAAATTTGACTTGTTGAAATAAACGGGTATTCAACTTGTTAAAATAATATATAATTTTATTTAAAGGTTAAAATATATTTCTTAAACATTTTTGTTACCTAGTTAATATACAAATATCCTGTTAATTCTATAGATTGCTTAGCCATAATATAAAATAACATTCAAATTTAATACATTGCCAAATAGTTCAAGGAATTCTATAGAATGCCTAGGACATATTTTATAGAATGCCCACATTCAACAATTTGCCTTTAACATATTTATAGTAGAGTCTCGTTAATCTGAACGAGATCGGGGAACGGGGTCGTTCGGACTACCTATGACCTAAAAAAAAATCAATTTTCTTGAAAATTTAAATGTTGAAATTTATTTTTATCTATACCGTATTAATTTGTTAAAATGTGTAATTGAAAAACTGTAGCTGGTCCCTTTATCAATTTTATCAATAAACTTTATTACTTCTAACTTATCCTATAAAGTTAATGTGACCATTAAGCCATTTTAAGAAAAATATGCTTTGTGAAACTGTCTTTATGTACACACAATTGACGAACGTAGTCACCAATTGACGTTCCACATTCATATCTAATCTACGTACACGTGCTACAAACGTAATCGAAAAATTTTATTATCGGGAAATATTATTGTTATAATACACATACATAATATTATGTATTATTTAGAGGTGGGTCGAACTGTTTGAAGTTCAAAAATTCGAATCAAACTTTAGGTTTTCGATTCGAGTTTAAAAGTCGAACCAAGTTATAAAAAAAAAAAACCAAACCCAACTCGAACAAAAAAGTTTCTAAAATAAAAAAAAAAAAACGAAAATTAAATAAATTCGAACTCAAAAAATGAAAGAAGAGCAAAATATTCTAACATGTCAAACGGTTTGAGCTAAATTTGTAAACGGTGTTTATTGTTGTGTTTATTTTTTTTTTTTGTCTATAATAGTTATATTATGCTATATTATATATTCTACTATATAAATATACTATAATATACGATACTATACTAAATAAAAAATATGAATAATATTATTAATTTCCAACCTTTTTTTTTTTTGTCCATTAAAATAAATTATATAGATAACTAGAAGTTGATTAAGATGAATATAAATATAATTGAATTGAAAATTATCTATATAATATAAAAGATAATTTATTTTTGTATACTTATCAGTGGTAGGAACAGATAACAACAATAAATTGTATTTAAGGTAGAGATAAAAGATAAACAAATTAAATTCAACTGACAAAAAGATAAAAGATTTAAAGGGTTTAGTTTGGTAATGAAATATATGGTACCGGTGTGGTTCGATGTTAAATAAAATGCTCGGTTTGAGTTCGACATCACATCAAAAAGTTCGGTTCGAGACCATAATTTTTAGTTCGATCCACCTCTAGTATTATTAATAATAGCGATGCAATAGTTCGGATTACCGAGTCTTCCGGATTAGCCTGTGTTCGGATTATCGAGACCCTACTGCATATTGTTTAGCCCAACAGGTACGTATAATTATGTGAACTATTTTAATCACGTTTAACAATAAAATACCTTTTTGTTTCAACAATAAATGGTAATAAATTCTCGAAGGTATTTAGGATTATGAGAAACGCAGACTAGACTGCAGTTGCTAACCCAAGTTCAACATTTCAAGATATTGTCCGATGACACACCCCAAAATTGACTCTGGACATCTTAATAGGTAGGTAGTATATAACGATTGTCACATTTTATTACAATATTAATTCCGAACAAAATACAACTAAATAATAATGTGTTCAGTTTAACAAAACGATTCGCGTAGGATATAATATGGTACAATATCAGCTTGTACAAAAAAATCTATACTAACTATTGTTTTTGCTCATCAGCCATTACGTACCCACACAATACAATACATTTTTAATTATGTGGTAACTTTTCGGTGATGTAGTTGTGATAGGAGAGCAAAATAGTTGCAGAATGTTTTTGCGATACACATAAATATGTCTACGTACATAATAATGGTTTCGTGTGTTGATTCGTAGCGAATACAACTTGTTCGGACGTCTCACGAATAGTCAATAACAATATGAATAATTAAACGCAGAGTGTAAACCCACTGACCACTATCGTGGAATAATAGTTTCCACGAAACGTAGATGGACAATAATATAATATGTTTTCCTCATCGGTATTATAATATTATAATAATTTAAACGGGATAATGAATTACAATATTTTGTTTTTACAATTTTGTACGATCCACCATTACTTAAAACCAGTTAAACCGGTATAAATAATAACAACAACAACAACAACAACAACAAAAACAACAGTAAATTATTATATTTTCCCTCAACTGTACTGTAAGTACGATATCGAAAGGAATGCTTTGGCTAATGGGCGTTTATTTAAATAGAGTAATGTAAAGACATAAAGACCTGCAAACAACATTCAGAATTCGAACGACAGCCGAACCCAAAAGGAAATCCTCGACCATATCACTCCGAGTGCTATACGAGAATACGGTAAGACTGTAGTTATTCATCAAATTACCTTTGAACGTTTTCTAAAACAAATACAATTTTTTTGCTAAAATATCAAATAAATGGTTATAATATTATAATGTCATACATACAGGCCATATTATTGTTATATTTTGTTACTCTTTACTCAAACTACTTGCCGATTTCAAAAATTCTTTTCAGGAAGTCCCATCAATGGATGGTCTCTTCACTCATCCCCTCTGTCTGAATTGATGTAAATAATTGTAATATTATCAACATGTTTGTTACATTACCCTATTATTTTGTCTTTTCTATACTTATTATTTTATCACTTGTGCGTATTGTAAACCATTATATATTACAGATCGTACAATTGTCTAGTTTAAAAATAAAAAAAATAATAAAAAATTCTTTCACCAATAGAAAGCTACATTATTTGAGAGTGTCATAGGCATACATTTAGTCCGATAAAGTGAATAAATAATTAATTATTATGATTATTAAAATGTATACGGCGTTACTTGGTTTCAAGCTATCTGCAACCTGACCTTCTTTATTATGTGTTTTATCAGCGTGTAGATATGAATTGTATATCGAGCAGTAAAACTCGACAATCTATATAAATATACCATACACGTATGACGTATGTATAATGTAAAATATTTGTCTAATTTTTTTTAGATTCTGAGTGGAACGATGCATGTATTGATTTTACAATGATGTGTGTTTTAGATTCTGAATGAAACAATGAATTTATTGATTTTACAATGATGTGTGTTTTTTTGTTTTTTATTTTTGTGTCTGTGTACACGATAAGTAGTCGAAATAATGCTTCGATTTTCAACTTCAGTATCTTGTTCGATGGGAAAGTGAATATTGTTGTTGCATTTATGAGATCAAAATTCCCAATAGTTTTCACAAGCGTCGGGAAAAGCAACATAAAAATTAAGGAAAAACGGGAATTTTTACGCAAAATCAGTTTTCCACAAAATCGATTTTAGTTTTTGGTGTAACTCTAAAACAAATGAATCGATTTTTATAGTCATTTTAAGTTCAAATTTGGACAAAATCACATAATAAAAAACCTAGAATAACTTTTTTGTTGTGATTGTATAATATTATTCGTGGGTACTTGAAACTTCTAAAGTACACTATTATATATCTACGATAGTATCAGGGTTTGTTGTTGATGTATAACGCGTTATAAGTACATTATGGATATTTTGATATGATTAATTTGGAATTTATTAAAGGAAACAATAATAGGTAATTTTTTTTTAATACGATAGATAAGTATATAATATGTCTTATACCTATAGACTGACATACCGTCTCCGTTCAGAATCGTTTTTCTTATACAATGATATTATATTTTTGAATTCAAATTTAATACCATTTATTATACAGTGAGCCACTTATAACCTATTGTACAGCAGAGCACCTTTTTTAATTTTAGTATTTATTG